TATGACATGCTGGTAAGCAGTATGACTTATATCACCCACAACTCACTTGTGTTCTACTCGTGCACAACATCAACGCATAAAACCTGGCTCTAATGCCACTGTTAGGGAACGTAGTAATTTCAAAAAAAATTCCTACGCACACGCAAGATCATGGTGATGCATAGCAACGAGAGGGGAGAGTGTTGTCTACGTACCCTCGTAGACTAGAAGCGGAAGCAGTAGCACAACGCAGTTGATGTAGTTGTACGTCTTCACGGTCCGACCTATCAAGCACCGAAACTACGGCACCTCCGAGTTCTAGCATACGTTCAGCTCGATGATGATCCCCGGACTCCGATTCAGCAGAATGTCGGGGAAGAGTTCCGTCAGCACGATGGCGTGGTGACGATCTTGATGTTCTACGATCGCAGGGCTTCGCCTAAGCACCGCTACAATATTATCGAGGATTATGGTGGAGGAGGGAACCGCACACGGCTAATAGATCTCAAGGATCAATTGTTGTGTCTAGAGGTGCCCCCTGCCCCCGTATATAAAGGAGCAAGGGGGAGGGGCGGCCGGCCAGGAGGAGGCGCACCAGGGAGGAGTCCTACTCCCGGTACCTTTCCTTGTCCAACTAGGAGAGGGGAAGGAAGGGAGAGAGGAGAGAAAGGAAAGGGGGGGCGCCGCCCCTCCCTCCTTGTCCAATTCGGACTAGAGGGGGAGGGGGCGCGCAGCCTGCCCTGGCCGCCCCTCCTCTGCTCCACTTTGGGCCCATGAGGCCCATTAATCCCCGGGGGGGTTCCGGTAACCCTTGGTACTCCGTTTTATATCCGATAGCTCCCGGAACCATTCCTGTGTCCGAATACAGTCATCCAATATATCAATCTTTATGTCTCGACTATTTCGAGACTTCTCGTTATGTCCGTGATCACATCCGGAACTCCGAACAACCTTCGGTACATCAAAATATATAAACTCATAATGAGATTGTCATCGTAACGTTAAGCATGCGGACCCTACGTGTTCGAGAACAATGTAGACATGACCGAGACACGTCTCTGGTCAATAACCAATAGCGGAACCTGGATGCTCATATTGGTTCCTACATATTCTACAAAGATCTTTTATCGGTCAGACTGCATAACAACATACGTTGTTCCCTTTGTCATCAGTATGTTACTTGCCCGAGATTTGATCGTCGGTACCTCAATACCTAGTTCAATCTCGTTACCGGCAAGTTTCTTTACTCGTTCCGTAATACATCATCCCGCAACTAACTTATTAGTTGCAATGCTTGCAAGGCTTATGTGATGTGCATTACCGAGAGGGCCCAGAGATACCTCTCCGACAATCGGAGTGACAAATCCTAATCTCGAAATACGCCAACCCAACAAGTACCTTCGGAGACACCTGTAGAGCACCTTTATAATCACCCAGTTATGTTGTGACGTTTGGTAGCACACAAAGTGTTCCTCCATTAAACGGGAGTTGCATAATCTCATAGTCATAGGAACATGTATAAGTCATGAAGAAAGCAATAGCAACAAACTAAACGATCAAGTGCTAAGCTAACGAAATGGGTCAAGTCAATCACATCATTCTCCTAATGATGTGATCCCATTAATCAAATGACAACTCATGTCTATGGTTAGGAAACATAACCATCTTTGATCAACGAGCTAGTCAAGTAGAGGCATACTAGTGACACTATGTTTGTCTATGTATTCACACATGTATTATGTTTCCGGTTAATACAATTCTAGCATGAATAATAAACATTTATCATGATATAAGGAAATAAATAATAACTTTATTATTGCCTCTAGGGCATATTTCCTTCACTCGCAAACATAGTATGCCCATAAATTAGTCCCCGGCGTCTGGCTCATGCACTTTACGAGAATAGAATTCAATCGGATAATAATAAAGCATAATAATGGTATTGAAACTAGAATAAAGAGATGCACAGACGTAGCTAGTACTACTTAATTACCCTGGGTCGCCACCATTTCAGGGTTGGTTCCCCTGGGCCCACAACCTCTTTGATGAACTTTTTCAAAACCCTGCCTGGCCAAGAAAATGAATAAAGGAGTTATTAATTACTTGATATCAGGAAATGAACTAAAGAGGCCGACATAGTGCGATAATGATTGAAATTACTTATCGAGCATCAACTTCAGGCTGGTGTATTCTTTAGGTTCTTTAAGTACACGAATCGGTACTAAAGGGGCTCGTGGGGGCCCCAGCCTGACGGCAGCATGCCACCACCCCTTTAGTCCAGGTTTGTATCACAAACCGGGACTATAGATCATAAATGAACCAAGACTAATGATGCCCGTGCCCCCGTCCGCTCCTAGCCGTTGGAGCCGGGACTAATGGTCACATTAGTCCCTTGCCAAAACCAGACCGGGACTAATACTCCAGACGAAAGGTCTGTTTTCTACTAGTGGGGCCTGCCCATGTGAGAATGTAATGCAAGGTGGTTTTTCTGTTTTACAAATCTTCTAGAACGTTCCCCGGGTTTTCTTTCTTCTTTTCTTTTCTATGTTTTTGGTCGCTTTGTACTCGGTTTTTTCCGGTATTTTTGAAAAACAAATCTTTTTTTATTTCTTTTTTTGAATACATTTTTTTCAAATCCATGAACATTTGTTTGAATTCTAATTTCTGAACCATTTTTACATTCATTTTTTCTCAAATGCCCAAATATTTTTCAAAAAAATCTGAATTCAAATTGATGAGCATTTTTTGTTCGGGAACTTTTCTTAAATCCATGAACATTTTTCAAATTCTTAAACATTTTCTTAATTCACAAAGATTCTTTTAATGGTTGACCTTTCTTTCAATTCACGAACATGTGGACATTATTTAGATCTGTAAACATGTTTTATAGAATTCTTTAACATTTTTTCAGTTCATGATTATGTTTTAAATTCGTGAACATCATTTTTGAAATTCATGAACATTTATTTTTATTCACAAACATCCGTAAGGTTGCCAATCTTCCAGGAGGAGCCGCGGGAGGTGGAGATTCCATCCGTGGCTGCCTACGACAATGGAGCCGATCCCGGTGACGACGGTAGTATGTAAATGGCCCGGCCGAGTCTACTCCCTGTGTAAGGAAATATAAGAGCGTTTAGATCACCACTTCTCTTATATTTCTTTACCGAAGGAGTACATAAGAAAAAAAAAACTCTGAAAAAAATTTCTTCCTCGCACGGGCCTGCTCTCCTGTTTCAGGTAGTCTCCATGTGTGTAGATTAGTATCCCTAACACAACGTGTAGACTAATTTGTGAGTGAGATAGTTCTTTGGATCTCTAGATAATGTGCCACCACGGCCTGAAAGCCTTCAATATGGCCACCACCTGTGGTTGGATGGTTAGAGAGACTCTTGTATCCCAACCCATCAGGGTTTAAATCCTGGTGCTCGCATTTATTTTCCTGAATTTATTTTAGGATTTTCGGTGATGCGCATTTAGTGGGAGGAGATGTTCCCGTCGACGACGAGGCGCCTACGGTGACTTCGTAAATATCAAGATGATATGCCGACTCAGTCTTTCGGAGATGCTCATAGGGGTAGGGTGTGCGTGTGTGCGTTCATAGGGGCGAGTGTATGCGCGTGTATATGAGCGCTTGTGTCTGTACTGATGTTCAAAAAAATATGGCCACCACGGCAGCAGACGCGCACTCGAAAAGAAGTATCAGCTAGCGCGGTGGGATCTTCTTCTACTACTTCGTCCGTTCACTTTTGTAAAACAGTGTTTTAGACATTTATAAGGACAACGCCTAAAACAGTTCAATTTCAGCTATCTAAAATGATCTAAAAAAATGAACAGAGGAAGTAGTACAAATTAAGCAGCCCTAGAATGCAATGCAATGCAGCACACATAATAAAACATAGAGAAAAGTAACATGCGGTAGACACACACACACTTGATTACACAAAGACAATAATAAAAACAGAGTTTCAGGCTCCTCGCGCAACCGTGTCCGGCCCTCGCGGGCTGCCGGCCGCGCCCCCCATCCATCCACCCCAGCGACCTCCCCCACCCTTCCTCTCCCCACCATCGCCGGCCTTCATGGCCAGGCTCGGCTCGGGCGGTGCCGCCGGTGGCCCACGGCTTTTCCCCTCCCATGGTGGATCCTGCGGGGGGCGGAGTTGCCCCAGGAGGTGCTTCGAGGCGGCGATGGTGCGACGCGGCGGCGGTGTAGCTTGGTGTTGGTGTTGGTGGCCGGTGGCGTGGGGCATGACCGTTAGTGCTCTGGGCCCCTTTGGGCCCCATCTGGGCTGGGGCGGGCCAGCGGCTCCGATCTGTGGCGTAGCTTCTTGGAGGCGGCGGTGGGGCGTTGGGAACCTGGGTGGTGGTGGCGCCGTCGTCGGCTAGCTGTAGCGAGGCGAAGGAGACTTTGTGGGCTCGATCTGAGCCCGACGGGCTCGGGTGGCCTGGTTTGCCTCTCGCCGCTGCGTACGGCCGGTTACCGCGATGGCGCTAGAGGAACTGGCCTCTTGTGCGACGGCGGTGGAGGTTATTCCCTCCCACTCGACCGCGGTGTTGCCGCCCCCGGATCCCTGCGTTTTCATTCTCCGTCCTCTAGGTCTCATGATGATGGCCTCGGTGAGACGGCGTGGGTGGCTTCGAGACCATGGTGGCGCAGGTAGGTGGGCGGAGTGCTGGGTGGAAGACTCTGGAGCAATTTAGGGTTTCTAGTCTACCCTCTATTCCTCTGCGCTTGCCTGGGGTGCCGCTCACAAATCGCATTCCTGAGGCTAGGGGGTAGGGACCTTCTTATACCGTCTTTCCAAATTGATTCAACCTAGCTCACCATCCTCCATCTGCCCTGTAGTGTTTGTTGACGAAAACACTTGGCCGACAAATGGACGAATGTTGCGGTCAAGGAACATGATGAACGGTGTCCATAACAGCCTATAGTGTTTATGCTAACAAAACCCACCAACAATATATTGTTCTTGTCTACATTTACACATACCCACACATCAATAATGTAATCATATGCATCCACATCAGTCGCTTGCAACAAGTCGGCGACGAAACTCTCCAAGAGCCATGATAGGGTATAAGTTGCGGTAGTTGGGATAGTTGAAGTAGAAGGCAGAGTTGGCGGATCCAACATGCTCCTAGCATCAAAAGGAAACAACAAGGGTCGCATTTTCAAAAAATGCACATGAACAATGCTTGGTGAAGTTCAAAATTTCAATTATCAAATAAGCAAAGAAACCTTTTGGCCTCACTTTATCAAGTTCAATGAGATTATAGTCATGGCCGTGTGCATAGGTGTAAAGGCCATGGGTATACCCTCCTTTTGGAAAGAAAAGATGACACGATATTCATATAATCATATATTGCACTTGACAATCATGTTGCTTGACAATCACACTTTGGTATAACTTTAAAGTTATACTAAAGCCGCATCAATTAATTTGGATCAGAGGGAGTAGCTTAAATTTCATTCTAGTATTGCATTTGACATTCATAATTTCATATTTGTTAACAGGTAGCATACACAAATCTAACTTGCACTCAATCGTGGTATGAGTAAACTAGACAGAAAACTTGCCTGCTGGGGAAACTCGCCCGTGTCTAGCTGCATGCTCATCAATACTTGCGCTGCACGGTATAGTGGTACCCGATCTATTTCAGTCTGGTGAGAATATGAAACCACTTCAATTTTTCAGATAATGCAACTGTCCTGACAATATTTTTGCAGTTATGGAAAATAATTTCAGTAATGCATTTGACGGAAAACATGAACAGACCTGCCCACCATAGAATAAACCTAGCATTGCCCAAGCAGTCTCCACCGTGTGAGGAGTGCCACTGTCAACGTACTCCTGTTCAATTTTGTTTCGAGATAAGAAATAAGTATTATGTATCATTTGACACTAGTTACCCATTTTTGGATTGTCTCTCAAATTTTATTACAACCTTGGCTACCACATATATATGCACCTATCTGTTGTCATATTTTTGATTTATGATACCTTGTCTGCCTATGTAGCGCGTACATTGCAGCCTACGGTTTTTGACCCGTTTAAACCCCAAACTGAGATAGATTTCAAACCAACTCAAATCCAAAAAATTGTTTATTCATATAATCTGGAATTACTGCAGTGGCTGGCAACTATAGAAATCAACACTGCAGCAAGTGTCTGCATAGTAGCACCCGACCTACTATTCATACCAATGACGTACTGTAGCAGTTCAAAAAACTACACATGCCCCCTCCCAGTTCATTTTTAGTTCAAAACCATTACGCCGCGGAAGCCCGCTGGAAACCCTCGCATTGTCCTCTGGCCCACCAACTCTTAGCAAAAATGGATTCCGTGTAACCCCGCTGATCCCAACCATACCCTACCCTAGTCCTGACAAGTCTCACTAGACCGCATAGCAAACACCAGATAGTCCAAATAGTGTCCCGTTTGATGTGTCACAATGGAAGGGCGCTCAAAAGAGGGAACAAGGTCTAACCCTTCCTCGGTTATGCTCCCTGATGTACTGGGTGGTATTTTCTTTCTAGGTAGGGACTTCAGAAGATAAAGTAGATGAAAAGTCTTGCTATCTTATCTATATCAACAAACCAAAGGAAGTGTGTTTCCCCGCAGTGACGTTATGAGGTAATGCTACGATGGGGCTAAAGATGGGCAACTCCGCAAATTCATGAAAAGTGGCATTTGCACTAACCTCTCTTTTTTACTTGTGAGCAGACTGCAGACATGATACCATCCATAACTGTTGTGCGTCTTTAAAAGGTCCTATTTAACAAATAAAGAGTACCCTAGTTGCAAACTCATAGGGTATACCCTGTTTTGAAAATGGGGTCGTGACACTAGGTGGCAACATTTTTTGGAATATAATAATCCAAAAAGAGGTAACTAGTGTGTCAGAAATGAGAAAAATTGGGGTAAAACATGGCGTTATTTTTTAAGTGGGATAATAATATCAGAACAAGGATTATAAATGTAAAAAGTGTCATTTGCATAATAAAAATTCAAGAAATCAACTTCAACTTGTCTTGAGGAGGAGAGGTGAAATTTATAAGAAGAAGGTGAATTTCCATAATAAGTGAGAAAGATAATTAAAAAAATAAGACATATTGGTAGGTATAGCAACACAATTAAAAGGTTACCCCAGTATAATTAGAAAGATAGCTTTCTCCCCATCCACCAGTACTTTGTTGCTTTGACAACAAAAAATTGCATGCTTTCCTGATAGAAGAACTATTGTGATAATTTCTTCCAGCAGCAATTAATCCTTTTATCGCAAACAAGGTTCCATACGTGAAACAAATACCCCAACTGCCATACCTACATGATAAATGAATAATTATACTTGTACACGGTAAAATCATGAGCGGGATATGATTTCCATACCATAAATGGCGTAGTATTGCTTACCACGAGCCATCGTTCAGTTGTTTTCCTTCAATAAACTTAGCAGCGCCTTTTATACATTTTCCTAACTCATCACCGCGGTACTGTGGGTATAGCTCTTTGAATAATATTAGAGCATCAACCACCGATGCAGTGCATTCACAAGATCTACCAATTGATTTGCTAGTAAGTTTACTTGAGCAAAGAGGAAGACATAAGCAACAATAATTTTCACCAAAGAGTACTTACGGATACTCGATGACAATGTTCTTAAAACTCTCAGAAGGATTAAGAATCTAGGTTGTCAAACCAAAATTAAGGTTAGTGCACATGCAACAATATTATGGTTTGTTGGAGAAGGATGATAGAAAAATTTCCACTTGCTACTAGGATTAGGTAAGGAATCCATGCAATGGTCAAAAAATATCAATTGTGTTAGCAATTCATTAAGATAATTTAGCTTGTTCAAAAGGGTAGTGTACGCGCATGCAGGTGGATATACCATGATTTTTTTTTTGCAAAATTCTGTTTTGTTAATAGTCAACAACATGAGTAATTTTGAAAATAATATAATTATGAGTTAAGAACTAGAAAATATCCTGATCTTTCTTATTATTCCTCTACTTATTTTATAAAATAGTTGACCGAAAATTCATACCATTAATAGCTAGTTAAAAGTTAATTAAATTGTTGTGCTAGAACACAAAACCCATAAAATCAGTATTATAGATTTACTTACCAAATGTTGTTTCAGTACATATAGGAAATCATCGTTATTAAGAGGTGAGTGTAACTTCCTCAGATGGGACTAATTCAGTAATTGGTAGAAGCAAATATTATCTTGTCCTTTCTTGTAAATGTTAGAAATATCTGGGAGGAGAAATTTCTATGCTAGACAATTTTTTTTTTGGTTTCATGTTAGCAAACATTATTTGCATACTCTGAGTGTTAATTTCCCTAGGCCTTGTTATACCCCCCCCCCCCACACACACAATCGTTCAGTTGATCAAAGTACAAGGCCAATATAGTTACCTCTAGCCAGGCAGATGTTCTTCTATGTTCATATGCGCAAAAAGAACCATCTTTATTCTTTAATCAGGAAAGAAGAAAGTGGCCATTAGTCAACTAACATTTAAACTTTACTAATAAAGGAATAAAAGTGTGTGTTTTTTAGGGAACTAAAGAATAATAGACTGACAATATCATACATTTGATGAAGAGACATTTTTGGTAAAAAGATTAGTTTATCCTTTGCATGGTGTGGAAATTTTTCTAGATTTGAAGAGAAAATAGCATCTTTTTCTTATGGTACTCATCCATGTTATCAAGAGGTGGCTCGAAAGACAACAATTCGGCCATAGCTAGCTACCCATGTGGATTACTGGTGATCACTTAAATTTGCACAAATTTGTATTATTTAGATGGAACTACACATGCTTACCTTTTGTAGCTCATGTTTATATTATCTCATATGAATTCTCTAAAGTTCATTTTACTAAATTTCTAGTGAAATGTTTTGAATTGATGATCTTCTAATCTGCATGGAGATATGTGCTAAGGTTTCTTATTCATTGGTAGTCGCAAAAGGACTATAGTGACTCTGGTGGTGGTTCATTAGGTTAGATCGAGTTCCATAAAATCCTAGTTGTAGCAAGATCTTTGGAGGCGGTTGTCCTATGTGAGTAGCGAGTTTGGATCAGTGAGGTGCTGTTGTTGGTAGTAGCAAAAGAGAGAGGAGTTTGGTTGCACACTCAGTTAAGAGGTTGGTAGCAATTAAATTATAATTCTTTTATTGTGGGGTTGGCGAGGGTCGGATGTAGATCCAAAGGTTGGCTATGCAATCTTATATTTAAAATACATGGTAGCACCATTTTCAGGAGGATCATAGGACATTCATCAATGTAACCTCCGACCCGTCGATTTAGGCTAAGGGGATCATACCATCAAAGAAAGGAGAAACTCGATGGCATCGTAAACCCTTTGTTCTTCTATTGGGTCACCAACAAGATTGGGAGAAATCTTTGATAATGATAGCAATGCCTACAAGAATGAGATTTTATTCTTTGAGTTCAGAAATCGAAGACCATTTTATTATCAGTTCTAATATCATCAAGTAAATATTCTTGTACCAAAGGTCATAGGTACCTTAAGAGTTTCTGCAGTACAATCAGATATAGACAAACCATGGTCTATAGTTGAAAGGGTCCATGAACCTTTTGATCTATGGCGATAAAAACTTTCATAACTCGGGAAGTTTCCAAGAATCTTCAATTACAAGAAAAAATATTTTAGATTTTTATGATTATTTTAGTATAAAGAACATGGAAAATAATGAACCTGTGAGTTTTTCATGAACTCATGAGCCTTTTTTATAGTTGGGCCAAATTCAGCTATAAGATCTGTTGAGCAAATTGCTTGAACTATGAATGGCGTCTCCCAGCTCTGGCAGCCATCACAAATCTGTTTTGACAGAATAGCATAAAACTTTCTTGCCAACTTGACATATGAAATTATCTAGATTTTTCTGAAAGAAATTGTCTCATTCTAAAATAAATAAAACATGTCTGGATGCAACCGAACTTCATATTAATACCATTGAAGCATGAGAGATGTGCATGCCATAACAAATATGAAAAAAATTTGGAGGATGTACTTTTCAAATTTTCATTCTTGTGCCCTTAACATCAGCTAATAAATAATTTTATGTGTGTCCTAATCTTGTTGAATGTGTGGCTGATTCAATAGTTGAAACCATTTTGATAGGTCCACTTCTCGCGCATGGAAATATTAAAAATGTGTCTACTTCTCATATGTGAAAATATTTGCAAAATAGAAAGCTGATTATGGGGCGTATGAGTTTTTAATTTGATTGAGATTCCAACTACGCAGTAAAACCCTGTTGAGTATAATTCAGCTTCTACAGAAATGTGTATAGCATATGTCTAAACCATGCCTATGATGGCATCGATGTTTGAGACAAAAACAACCCCACATAACAAAAATTTAGTGATCACCCAACTATGAAAACTATCTTATAAAGTTATTCTACAACATAATGTAAACTAATACCTTAGCCTTCATTCCATCTTCTGCAATCCACAGATGATCATAAACTCTTGGAAGATGTTTCTTGAATGCATTTGAATTTGGATTTTCCACCCAACAACAGATCATATTCAGTATCTAATTTATAACCAACTACATGTCAATTGATTTGCTCGAAACAATTGATGTTTTGCAGAAATGTAAGTACTTACGGAGTTACCTTGTCAACATGACTACTGGTTATGTATTCAGTTATTTCATTATTATAATGAATTTGTTCCATAAGCTTACTCAAAGCTCTTCCTCTTAACTTGTTTGCTGGCCACCAATTTAACATTGGCTCCACAAACTTGTTAAGACAAAAATTTACAATATTTTGCATTTGTGAGCGGGGGTTGTGAAGGTCCTCCTATAAAGAAAGAAGAAAACTGAGTTACAAAAGTTTGCATAATTATTATTTAGAGGTAGTTCCTACAAATTCTTCTTAGTTTAGTCAGGAAGATATAACTTTTAATGAAACAGAGAGGTCTTGTAATTCACTACAACATTACATTTGATCCATGAGTCCTCTAAAAAAATCATTTTTGTGTGCGCCATTTTTCCTCGTGCAAAATTACTTCTAGAAACTCAAATATCTGCAGACATTAAATAAAAGGACCAGTCCAAATCCAAGATGTTGTAGGACCCATGCAATTTTGTCCCTAGTTTTGTGCAGGTACTAATCTTTGTCCCAGAAATTTGTTTAACAAATCTATCTCAAAAAAGATACTTGATCTCCAAAGGTATCATAACCAACAATAAGTAATGCATGTATACATTCCATGATCTCCAAAGGTATCATAACCAACAATAAGTAATGCATGTATAGATTTCCTTATCTCCAAAGTCATAACTTTAGAATTTCTGGCAGCAACAAACCTTGGCACAATAATTACTCGCCTTTCCCCAATCAACATTGTCATAAGGTATGTTGTAGAGCTCCTCTCGTAGTGCCATTATTGTTGGAGTAATGGGCCCAACAAATCTCTTCCCATAAAGATATGCCATTGACATATATACTAACCGACAATGGCACCAAAATCGTCCTATGAAGGAATAAAAATAACTTGTGTAAGAAATTTAAAAAAATGATGACAATAATGGATGAATCTCACGCCGAGAACTCTAGAAACATGCCTGTAATAAATCACATCACAAATAATTTTAAATAAAAATCGCATATACGGGTGTTTTTTAGGGGACAAACAATGGCTACAAAAAAAAATACTACAAGAGAACTCCATCTCTAGATGTCATGTGATCCATGTGATGAGTGGCGCAAGCATGTCACATCGTTCAAGTGCAATACCATGTATTTATTTGCATCTCTGGCAACGCAGGACTTGACACTGACAAAGGCATGGATATGTCCTATGAAGGGGCATGGAACGGCAGAAGATGAGCCAACATTTGTTGTTGTTTTTCTTTTGCAAAGAAGCCTCTGCGCACAGTGGACCAATCTGGCCACCTCAACAACTAGCCATGTGCGTTCTGCCTTAGTGGTCTGCTTGTTGGTGGTTTTTGGATCAATATGTAAGGGTGAAAAAATATCTCTTGAAGGTGCTTGGTGGGTTAATTGAATGTTGAAAAATTTCCCAGAATATTTGCAAAAATATATATGAAAATTAAAGTTAATTAGTTATGACAAAGTGCAAAATCAGGCTCATTAGGCCTAAGCTAATTATTAAATTGACAACATAACCAAGTTTACCAAACTTCAGTGGAACTTCACTCGAAATAATGGTAGAATGCTAAAAATGGCTATACAGTTGCACTCGCATTCATGGTGTGGGGGTTATTTTATGTACGAAATAAATTTTGATAATCTTTGTTAGGTCCATGGATGGAAAATGCACCTGGATGAATTGGAAGAAAGTATGGAAGCAACCACAACTCAGGAATGATTGGATTATTGCCCGACCAATCGTAGACACCAATTATCTGCCATTATATAGAAGAGTATTTTAAATAAATACAAGTTTATTCAATAGTATTTTCCTAATGGTTGATAATGCTTATAAATAGCACAATGTAATATCCTTTTTTTATGGTGCTTCTTATTTCACCAATTGCTAAGGAGGTAAATGTTGAAGTGGTGGTTGTAAATGGAAACAAGAAAAAGGTGTTAATGTAGCATAAAGGCCCTCATCTTATTAAAAGTTGCCTGATCATTTTCATAAGTTCTGATTACTGTAAAGAAATAAAATAAAATTATCCGTCCTATTTCTTATTATGCATACCGAGAGAAATATCTTTCCCCACTGCGGTACTCCAGTTGCGCTTCCGTGAGATAAAATCCAAGCACGCCCTTTGGTTAATACATCATTATCACCGTCTAGCATCTCGCCAAGAAGCCTTAAGGCTACATAATTTAAACATGATCCAAACATGCTACTAGGTCCCCAAACATGTGTTCCCCAACCGCCATCCTCGTTCTGCATAAATCATAATGCTTTATGAAATTTGTTTCTTTTTTTTTATGCAAAGCCAAATGCAGATCTATATCTAAAACAATTAATATATTTCATGGAAATTATAAGTTGTAATTTCCATGCCTGATGATTGTAAATGTGGCGGCGTATCTCACGTTGATGTTCTGATGATAGGACGATGTTAAGTGATCCAGTAACATATAAAGAGAATATCTGCAAGACAGACATAGTAAAACAGAAGCAATGCAAATTTATATTGTGCGCACTTAGTTATTGGGAGCAAAGCATGGACTAGCGAGTTGGGAGCAGTAGCGTTCAACACATATCCAGATTAAGTAGTAGTACCCAAAAAGAGCTGTAGTGTGGAGTCGTAGATTCGATTCAGTTGTTATAAGTGTGTATAGGTACGTGCGTGGTGTGGTGTTAATTCGTGTGCATGTGACGCGCACACTTCAATTTCTCTAGTGGGGTACGTAGTTATGTGTTATGTTATGAAAATTAATTTCATCATGCATCTAATATTATTGAGTTCATAGTGTGGATGTTGATATCTTTTCCTACAAAGCTAGTCAAATTTTATAAAGTTTGACTTTGATCAAATTTTATATGCAAACTAAAAAGAAACAGAGGGAGTACATACTACTAAAATATAGGGAAATGAACAAAGTATATTTGAGTGGGCTGATGTTAATTAATTATGCGAGTGAAATTAATACTAGTAGTACTTACAAGCATAGGCATAATGAACATGAGTCCACTGACGTCACCAGGCCAGTGTCCATCGTGTGCTTGGAGAGTAGAATATTGATGAAGAGCACGCCTCAGTGAAGTCGTTATCATTTTCTCCGTGACTACCTGTGTACCCTTTTCGACGACCCTCGTGGTTGGAATGTTGGCCGGGAGGAGGTTCCCTTTTGCAAACTGGAATCCATGTATTTATTATACAGTACATATGATACTCCGTCCGTAAACTAACATAAAAGCGTTTAGAAAGAAAGTACATGGTAAGATCCTACTACTTATAGACGGAAAAACTTGCGATTCGTTTGTTGCAAGCTGCAATCTTTTTGTCAATCAAAAAAGAACCCAATAGAAGCTACCTGCAAGCGTAGGAGGAGGTCCTGCGACTCCCGCTTGTGGTAGCGGTGCTTGGTGAAGTCCTCACGAAGCCTCTCGACCTCGGCGCGCTCCTCCGGCGTGCCGGCGTCGCGATCGAACTCCCACACCTGCCTGCCCAGGAAGCCGCTGGCCGAGTGCAGCCACGGCCCGCTGCCCTCGCCGATCTTCAGCCTCCACATCACGTACCTACGCGGATCGATCAGGCAAACGTTTTCTTTCTTTCTTATTTCTTACTCTTGTTGTGCTGCCACAATGCATGACTGTGTCTTCTTTATATAGGAGGAAATCCTCCCCTCAAAAAAATAAATATAGGAGGAAATCCAGACCAGCTTCTGGACACGTCACCTACCGACGCATGCCAACTAGTAACTGTCAACTACTTCCCATTAATTATACCTTTTCCGATGCTTCACCTTGCAATGCAAGGCTAAATATTCCATTTGGCAACACAATTAAGAGGAGACAGAGAGGAGTTTGGTAAGGCCATCTTCAATGCTAACCCCTAAATGGACACCGCAAATGTCGTTTTTTATGTCCGGACGTGGTTCGTGGAATTGATGTGGGAGGTAGCCATCAAATGATTATTCACAAATTAATTCTTATTTGTCCAGTTATAGAGAGAGAAAGAGAGACCATGCATATGTTTTTTTGGTGGGGTATTGTGGTGTGGTTTCTGATTGGAAGGAGAGAAAGGAGAGGGGGCCATGCATGCGTAGATAGAGAGAGAAAAAATAGGAGTACCACGTGGTTGTTTTTTATTGGTCAAGTGGCTCTCGGGACACTCGCAAGTGGATCTTCAAAGGATGTCTGGACAGCTCCTCGGACCGATAGGAGTCCCTATTGGATGACAAACGTTAACAAGAATTATTCGGACACCACAATTCAAACATATAGCAAAGCTTTGAAGGTCTCCTTTGGAGATTCCCTAACCGAGAAAAATAATAATGCCATGCGTGCGTAACATTCTGACAAAAGATACAAGTCTTGCTACCTTGCCACCTGTGACGTGCCAGGTTATGTCTAGTCAAGATCAGACCTCTGTTTGAAAACCAAAGGAGTATCTTGACTAGAAGATCTAGTTTGATATTTCATATATTTTTTGTTATGGTTATGAACATCATTGTGGACAATCACCTCATATAAGGACTTGACAGAAAACTTGTTGTTCCGATGCAAGTTCCATTGGAACTCATTCATTTCCGCTTGATAGTTGAATGTGCTCCAAAAGTGTGAGCAATTCATTCTGTGCTACAAGGTGAGGCCTAAATAGGTCCGTACATAAAAAATAGTAGGGTTTGCTTTGCCCAAGACTTTTGCGACTATGACGAATTTATGTCTAACAACCTGATGCAGGCTTGGGTATTGCAACGTAAGTGGGGCCGCACCCAGCCATGTATCCTCGCATAATCTAACCTGAGAACCATCCCAGACTGAGAAAAGGCAGAATGAAAAAATAATTCCTTAGCCTTTGATACGTCCCAAACGTATCTATAATTTCATCCTATTTTTATGTTACTTGTATATCAATATTGCATCACATTGACACCAATTTGTATCGATTTATTAGACTAACCTATTAATCCAATGAACAGTGTCAGCTATCGTTTTATGCATGTTTTTCAACTATTCAGAAAAATACAATTTTTGGGGGTGTAAAAAATGTTTTTTTTGGAAGTTTCATGATAGGATGGAGCGAGGCAGCATCGGATGGCCCGGAAGGGAGCTCCAAGGCTTCCCCACGGTGGGACCATGCGACCCAGGGCCTAGCCATGACCCAAGAGGGCATGAGGCCCAAGTAGCTTCGCTCGAACGCCTCTCGGTGCATCCGCCTTTAAATTTTCTAGAAACATCCAAAAATAATTATCAAGGATTTGTTCAGCCCCCGCCACCACACGTTCCATGACGATCCAATGTGTAGATCTATCCGGGTACTCTCCCGGGGGGATAATTCATCACTGAAGTCTTCTTCATCAACATTGTTGCCACCATGACCATGTGTAAGTAGTCCTCCTTGGACTATGAGTCCATAACAGTCGCTAGATGGCATCTTCTCTCCCTTTCTATTCAATGCAAATATTACATGATTCGCCCTACATTATTGCGATCCATCTAATGTATTTACCGATGCGTTTGCTATGGTGTAATAAATTATCACTTTGTGATCAGATCTACATATGGATTCTTTTTGGATTCTTTTTGTTTCTTTGCTGCTTTATTTATAGACATATATGCTCTCTGGTCTATTAGTCTTACATTTGCCATGTTTTATGAACGATCTCCAAATGGGAGTTGTGTATAGTTTGGTATAACCTTGAAAGTAATATATCTCATTGACAAAAGGAGAAAAAAGGTTTGTAGTGTAATCATTGACAAAAGGACAAAAGTAAAAATATGGTTGCGCAATTTGTCTTGATGATGAGCTGAAGGTAAAAAATACTATCAATAATATGTGGCTTTGCATAATGTAATACTCTGTTTACTTAATACTTTGAGATGCATGCTAGATAATGATCTTGGGGTGGAGTATTAGCTATAGACATAGTTGGATAACAATCTATAGATACAAGTATGTAAGGCCTTTAATCATGACATGTATAATCATAATCATAAACTACTGCAATTTAATCGACACCCAACTATAATTTGTTCACCTCATCTATGCATGCTTTCTGGAGAGATGCCACTAGTAAAGTTATGCATCCCAGTCCATTCATCCCTTATTGCTTCAACCTCGATTAAACACTTTATTTATCATTTAAAATATGAATTATTTATCTTATTTACTTGCAAACATCAATTCCTACCATACGATACGCTTATCCTTGTAAGTAGCAAGAGTAGAGAGACTAAAAATTTCACTATCTAAGCGGGGGATCAAGTAGAAGTTTGGTAATTGTGTGCAAGTGCTGATCATTTACTGTATCTCAAGTGTTCCTACTGGTTCGATAAACCTTCATTCTCATTGAGGGAAATACTTTCCACTCGCTACAAACCCTTCCTCTGCAGGGCACAACAAGCTGTTGAGATTTTAAGCATCAGCCTTCATCACGGTAGACCAAAAATCTGAATCACCGGGTTTCTAGTGGAGTTGAGAAATGGCTTCGAAACACACATGTGGAAAATGATTTCCAGCCTCACTCCATTCTCAGTGAGTCGTTTATATAAACATTTATGAGAAGTGCATTGTTTTTAATCCCGTTGTCGACAAATCCATGAAGAGGAATGCTAATTGGAGAGGAAATGCACTCTTTTACAAGGGCAATTTGATCCTGCTCCAATCTTGTATTACTAGTATCCTTGTGGGTGATAAGTCAATCTCTCAAAATCAAACAACTTTTATAAAGGATAGGGTTATTTGATAAAGTGTCATCCCCGCTCATGAAGTCCTCCATGAGATTCACATATCTGGTTCTATTGGCCTTGTTCTTAAGGTTGATTATGAAAAAACGCTCAAAATAGTTAACTAGGATTTCCTTTTTGAAATGATGCTCTCTAGAGGCTTTGGCCAGAATTGGATTAATTGGATCGACCATGTGTTGTTCTAACGTTACTTTTTTTGCAAGGCTTAAGGATAATAATGGTCCATACACTCTTGCTGGCAAATGTTGAAACAAGGAGATCCTCTATCTCCCACCCTCTTCAACTTTGATATTGATGTGTTTAGTAAATTGTAAGCCCTAAGTTGTAAATTCTGGTATCATTCAAGGGCTTTTGCCTCATTTTGTTCCTGGTGGTGCCATCATCCTCCAATTTGTTAATGGCACATTATATTTTTCGAGTCCTACTTAATTATGAGTAGACAAGAAATCTCTAATGTATCCTTTCCTGATTTGACAACCCTGGTATGAAAATCAATTTCTACGCAAGTGACCTCTTGTAACGCCCGGATAATCAAGCTACAGTAATCCCCTGCTAATGGTGCCAGGTCGTCACTGTTGCTGCTGCTAATCTCACTTTGATTCTAATCCAGCCCAAATCTCAACTTTAAATTATAGTTAAAATTCTAACGTCTCAAATATGCCAACTAAAATGTTCATCATGTGACAAATATTCTATAAACAATTATGGTGGTGAAACAACTTTTTGCAAAATGCTTAAATGACCTTAAGTAAACAAAATAGTGGCCAAAGCAATAAGTTAAATGTTAATTAATTTATAAAGATACTAAACCTTTTTATTTAAACCTCAATCTAAATGTGGCCATGGCCTAAATTTATTAGAATAAATTAGGTGCCAGTTTTATAAAAATTATAAAATTAATTCGGTCTTAAAAGGTTTTGGAAAACATATGTTTAAAAAAAGGGACAAAAGAATATAAAACATTACAAAGAGGGGGGAACCCCCCCGGGCCTAGCCCACCTCGGTCGGCCCAGCCAACCCACCTACCCCACCGGTCGCCTTCTTCTCCTGTTCTCCTGGCGCGGCCGCTACAGGGGTGCGTCCCCGCCCGACCAACTCGCCGACGCCGCCCCGAGGGGATAAGGGCGTCATCCCCTCGTCATCTCGAGCACTCCCCTCCACTCACCACTCTCCCACTTGCTCCTCCCCACCCACTCTCTTCCCGTCGCCCATGCTCCCTTCCCCTCAAATCAACCTCGCCCGCTACTGCCGTCACCGCGTCATCGTCGTCGCCACGCACCAGAGCCTCCCCGAGCTTCACGGCAGTGTCCAGGAGCCCCAGCGGGTCCTACTTCGTCAACTACACCACCGGAGAGAGGCTAGAGAGCCTCGACGCCGTCGCCCACATCGACTTCATCTTCGGAACGCCGTCGTCGGTCGCTTTCGATCCACAACCACCGCAGCCTCCTCGCCTCCATCGAGCTCGGCCACCGCATCGATGTGAGGCCCCTTTCTGTTTTTCGCTCTCCCTCTTCTATTCCCCTGCCTTAGGACGCCGCCCCACCGCGCCCGAACTCCCGGCGAGCTCCTGGTCGCCGTGCTCGTGGCCGCACAGCCGCGAGCCCCTCCCGTGCACGCTCACCGACCCCCGCTGCCGCCCTGACCTGGCTCCACCCCGCGCCCTAGGTCGAAAGTCCCTGCCCACCATGGATTTGCCTCCGCCTCACCACGTCCTTCTTCACCCGCAGCCGTCCCCGGCGCGACCGCAGCCCCGCACCGGCCGCTGCCTGCTGTTGCCGTTGTGGCCTCCGCCTCGTTCGTCGTAGCGGCTGTGCCCCGC